ACCAAATGATAATGGGCTTTTTTAATGTTTAAACATTTTTTGCCTTTATTTTTGACATGCACATGCCAAAATCTACACAATGCCATATGGAATACAAGCAAGCGATAGTTTGTTGTCGCAGTTTTACAAGCGCGGAAAGTTTTTAACTTTTAAATATTTCATGCACAATATATGAAAAGTAGTTTTATTTTGATGATTTTGTATAATTTAAGTACCTAATTTTCTGAAAATCATCAAATGAGAATGGGCTTTTTTAATTTTTAAACATTTTTTGCCTTTATTTTTGACATGTGCATGCCAAATCTACACAATGCCATATGGAATACAAGCAAGCGATAGTTTGTTGTCGCAGTTTTACAAGCGCGGAAAATTTTTAACTTTTAAATATTTCATGCACAATATATGAAAAGTAGTTTTATTTTGATGTTTTTGAATAATTTAAGTACCTAATTTTCTGAAAATCGTCAAATGAGAATAAGCTTTTTGAAATTTTAAACATTTTTTTGCCCTTATTTTTAACATGTGCATGCCAAATCTACACAATGCCATATGGAATACAAGCAAGCGATAGTTTGTTGTCGCAGTTTTACAAGCGCGGAAAATTTTTAACTTTTAAATATTTCATGCACAATATATGAAAAGTAGTTTTATATTGATGTTTTTGTATAATTTAAGTACCTAATTTTCTGAAAATCATCAAATGAGAATGGGCTTTTTTGTTTAAACATACTTTTTTCCAGCTTGTTTCATAGGGTGTCAGATTTAAAACGCGAAGTGGAAGGCAATGCTATTCCATGTGTAGATTTCGGCATGCACATGTCAAACTGAATAAGTGCAAACATGTTTAAAAATTAAAAAAGCCCATTCTCATTTGGTGATTTTCAGAAAATTACATACTTAAATTATACAAAAACATCAAAATAAAAATAGGTTTCATATATTGTGCATGAAATATTTAAAAGTTAAAAATTTTCCGCGCTTGTAAAACTGCGACAACAAACTATCGCTTGCTTGTATTTCATGTGTAGATTTGGCATGCACATGTCAAAAACAAGGCCAAAATAATGTTTAAAAATTAAAAAAGCCCATTCTCATTTGGTGATTTTCAGAAAACTAGGTACTTAAATTATACAAAAACATCAAAATAAAACTAGTTTTCACTTTTCATATATTGTGCATGAAATATTAAAAGTTAAAAATTTTCCGCGCTTGTAAAACTGCGACAACAAACTATCGCTTGCTTGTATTCCATGTGTAGATTTCGGCATGCACATGTCAAAAATAAGGGCAAAAAAATGTTTAAAACTTAAAAAAGCCCATTATCATTCGGTGATTTTCAGAAAATTAGGTACTTGAATTATCCAAAAACATCAAAATAAAACTAGTTTTCATATATTGTGCATGAAATATTTAAAAGTTAAAAATTTTCCGCGCTTGTAAAACTGCGACAACAAACTATCGCTTGCTTGTATTTCATGTGTAGATTTGGCATGCACATGTCAAAAATAAGGCCAAAAAAATGTTTAAAAATTTAAAAAGCCCATTTTCATTTGGTGATTTTCAGAAAATTACGTACTTAAATTATACAAAAACATCAAAATAAAAATAGGTTTCATATATTGTGCATGAAATATTTAAAAGTTAAAAATTTTCCGCGCATGTGAAACTGCGACAACAAACTATCGCTTGCTTGTATTTCATGTGTAGATTTGGCATGCACATGTCAAAAACAAGGCCAAAAAAATGTTTAAAAATTAAAAAAGCCCATTCTCATTTGGTGATTTTCAGAAAACTAGGTACTTAAGTTATAGAAAAACATCAAAATAAAACTAGTTTTCATATGTTGTGCATGAAATATTTAAAAGTTAAAAATTTTCCGCGCTTGTAAAACTGCGACAACAAACTATCGCTTGAAAAAAAGAACTTGCTGTTTTTATCAATTTATGGCGCTTCATCTGGTGGAACTTGACAAAAATACATGTGATTGAACATACCTGATTTCCAAACACACATTCCAGTTGCAGGTTTTACAACAACAGCCGTTTAAAAAACTTTTTCTTCGTCTTTTTTTTTCATCTTATAAACGAACGAAGTTGTTTTGCAAAAACAATCGATCCTCGTGAGTGAGATCCCAGACTTTAATATATCTTACACTACAACATTCCCCATATAATCAGCCGTGATTAAGAATCCGGAAAAAAGATTTTGTTTATAGTAATAGCACAGATCCCAAATCCATTGTGAATTCAGCTTGAATTGTACCTTTTTACGTAGTAATTTTAAAAAGAAGTCAAAACAAACATGCATGCCTGATCAAACCACATCGAATTCGAATAAAAATGAAAATATGCGGGGGGACCTGCATCACACATAGATCAGGGGCGCCATAGCCGTTTCACCGCCCGTGTTTTACAGCGCCCTGATCAGCGCGATTACCGCGCGTTTCCTCGCCCGTGTTTTACTACGCCCTGGTACGAGGTTGGGTCGAACGCGCGTAAGAAGGGCTCTGGGTAACAGGTGGGCAATTTGTCTGAGCATGCGCGAAGAAAATCAATATGGCGACATATATTAGGAGTGTTTCGTGAATTTATCTGGTTTTAAAGCTGATAAAACAACATTTCAATGAACGAAAACTTTGTAATATTTAGTGGAAAACATTAAGCTATGCAATCAAATTGGTTTTAAATTGAAAATAAGTACTTTTGCTTTATTTTATTGCTTTTTATGCTTTGAAAACAGGCAAGTTCATTTTTTGGCAAAAATCTAATCTAATATTTTACCCATCATTTGTTTAATCTGAACAGAAATAGATAGAACACTTGGCTATATAAGTTACAAAGGTATTGTTAGCTTATCTGAAAGATTTCAGTATTCCTGGTACACATTTTAACAAAGAATGAAATGTAATTTTAACTGATTAAATATGCATATCACAAACAATAGTTTTTATTAGAACAGCACATAATAAGTTGTTATTTTCTATTTTTACCAGGGATGCCGGAACCACGGGTGCAGTTGCACCCGTTGCCTTTTGTCTTCACAACTTTACGGGTGCACTACGGGTGCAGAATACGGGTGCAACTTTTTGCGTGAAAAATTTTCATTAAAAATTGCATTTTTGCGCAAAGGGCATTTTTGAAAAATTCAATCTATGTTATTTGCGGAAAAATGTTTTAATTTCCGGAAAAAATAACATTTTCCGGAAAAATTTTCGGTATGTCCGGAAAATTTTTTTCGTATTTAGGAAAAATTGTGGTATGTCCGGAAAATTTTTTTTACCCCTAAAATGGTACACTGACCAAAAAATGTTTGGCGACGGGGGGGGGGGGATAAAATAATTTTTAGATGCCCTTTCATTTTCATTAGTGCCCTTTTGTTAAGGAATATGCCCTCTTGTTAACCAATTGCACCCCTTGCACCCAGCAACTTCCGGCATCCCTGATTTTTACAAAAACAAGTTTGGAAACAGGATTTAGTCCTCCAGCTTGATGTCATATTCCATTTATTTGGATATTTCAATAAAGGAATGTGAAATAATAATTTAATCTTGTGCAAAATTTGATACCAACACACATGTGAACAGATACTATCACCTAAAAACAAAAGAAAACAGAACTTAAATTTATCATCTAATACTATGAAAAAAATCTTTAGATTCTACAGGCATATAGTGAGCACAATTCTTTAACAAACTCACTGAAATAAGTTAAGTTATACTATGATAAAAGGATGGCGATAGATAACAACACCAAATGTTGTCATCTTCAGTGTCCAAAAAAAGTGCCGCGCGCATTTTTCATGGTCGCATAACTGGTATTGCCACAAACCCAAGTGAAAAAGCAATTAGAAAAATCTGGTTTTGGGTGATGAGCATAGTCAAATTCTTGACTTATTCAATTTTCTATGTTTTTCCAGGTACACAGATTAAACATTGAAATAAGCCACATTCGGGACCTCATAGAACCAAACTATTGTGTATGGACCAGACTTTTTTCAATTTTCTGTGATTTACATTACACTAGTTATAATTTAAGGGTCAACCAGTATTGTTCAAGACATATTATCTTTCCAAAACACCTTTTCAAAATACTAACCCAAGCATATCAAAAATAGTGTACATTTACAAGGGCAATTTCAACCCTCTGGCACATTTTTCCCATGAATGATTTCAATTCTAATAGAAAGACTATAGATAAAACTTTGATTTAAAGCTAGTTTCAAGTGATGAGCATACCCTAATTTTTAAGCTATACCTCAAAGACGATGGGCCATTTCAACATAAACATTGAAATATGGGTATACTGACAGCTCTGTCACACGTGTAGTTTGACATTAGCAGCCCTTCTGAAACATTTTAATGAAAGTATAATTCACAAAATTCACATTTTCACTTACTTCTTAACATCTGTTTTAATCCAACTAGCTCTGTAGGCACGAGTGAAATTTAGTGTTGACGTAAATATCCATTTAGTTCATGTTTCCCCGGTGAAAATATAGTCTATTCCAACGCTGATTTCGACGTACTTTAGCTTTTCAGAAACCGTTGGCCTTCCTCAGTGAGATTATCAACTGTTTCACAAACATATTTGATAGTAAACAGCTAAAATATTCTCCGAAAGTCTGTATTTTTGCTCTTCGAAAGCGAAAATGGCAACTCAAGAAGAAATGAGCCGCTATTTTTGGTCAGCGTCGACAAATTGCCCACCTGTTGCTCTGGGTACGAGAATGAATTTGGGCACTTTTTAACGCTCATCCCCAGTCCTCTCATCAACTTCGGAATGGCTAATATTTGTTGCTTGATGCTTACACATGCGTTGCACCATCTTTATTCTATCGACTCAGTTTGAATCCCAAATGAGAACAATTTCAGTGCTCAGACATTAGCTCTACATGCAATTTCCAAAGGTAGAAAAATGGGAATCGAGCAGCATCATAACTCGGATTGTACTTGCAACCTACTTTTGATGGCAACGATACAAGAAATTGGTATGAAACGGTACGGCTAAACGTAATAATATAATGCACGATAATATGCCTAAGTTGAATTACTTCTTTTTATATACATCCTGTATATAAGAGATTACATAATAATAATACATATAAGATATATAAGATTACATTCGCTTTCAATACAATAATACCATATAAGGTTTATCGTTACAAGATAAATGAAGAATCTATGGAATTTAGTTCAAGTGTTGTCGTACTCTTATCGTTTATTAATTATTTTTATACCTTAATCACATTAATCAGTTAATATTAAGTCAATGCTCAGTATTTTGAAATTATAGTCGCTCTTTTAGGAAAGGGCGAGTGGCGGTGCATGCATGTATTTCTAGTTATCTGGAGTGCTACTGTCTGCAACGTTATTATCTGGAATGCTATAATTACCTAGATTCTATACTGTCCGCGATATCATAATCTGGAATGCTATACTGTTCGCAATACCACTATCGGCATAACTATACACTGAAATGCTCGTCTGGAGCGCTATTTTCTGGAGTGTCCGCAATGTCTTTACCTGGAGCGGTTTTTAGTTGCAGTAAATGAACGTCAACTGGGGCATATCGATTTATACGAAGAAGATAGACAGTAATAAACTCCCTGTCACAGCTCCAGCCAGCTTCAGAACGACAGTTGCGGAGTGGAAACCTTCGCAAAAGATGTATCACTTCCCCAAGTATTATCACAGCAATAACGGTGTTGAGTATAGAGACGATCACGCTCCACAACTGCTTCTCGGATGCGGTAGAGTTCTCGCATGTTATTGAAGTATTATTTAACTTGCCAATACTCGTATTGTTTCCTGTCTGCAAATATACATCTGACGTCGGTAGATTGCAACTGAACTCGAAATCAAAACCACGGGGATAAAATACTGTATGTTGCAGAACAGTGAACACAATTCCAAACAGGGAACGGACAACAAGGTGGACGAAATAGAAGTTGAACACATAAAATCCTTGGCTCGTTTCTTTGCTTTCGGTTCTAGGTTCATCAATTCCATCAGTCGAGGTTGTGTCGACTTCCTTGATGCGAGCGTTTACTCCCAGTGAGTATATGACGCTGGCAAGGACTGTGAATCCAGAAGTCAGTAAAATAAAGCCGTACAAAGGTAGAGAGGAGTTATAAGTCTGTTCGTACCTTGAATAACATGTTTTATCGACGTAATTCGTGCACACTATTGTAGTCTTGGCATCAATGAAACACGAAAATTTCTCGGTCTCTCCCGCTCTTAAAACCGACGTTACAGCTGTTAATACCAGCCCACAGAGGAAATGAACTATCAGACATACATAGGCTACCACACCGAATCTCTTGGGAGCTAAATAATCCTTTACCGCGTCTATCATGTCGGTGGAACTTGAAATTTATGCCACCAATGTCGCGAACAAATCTGCTTTGCTTGTGGTTTCTAGCCTTCTCACAGTAAGATCAAGTTTCTATAGATATTTCAGGAATCCTGTCACACTTGTGTGATGACACGCCTAATTAAATTCAGAATGTTCCCAGAATTCACTTTTCGGGAAAATGTACCTGTTGCTGTTGGAGCCTCACTTTCGTGACTAATGTCATGGATTTAACTCCTTATATCAAAAGCACACTGTTTGTCAATGATGCGATTTCTGACAACTCACAAACCTACAGATTGCATATTGTATATTGCTTGGGTATTATAAGAAATACGATACTAGTCAAAAACCATATAAACGAAATTAATTATATATCATTGAGAATTTGTAATGCTGGATTGCACTACAATACCAGTCTTGTACTGTTCTCCCTACGGTATAGATCCAGTTTTAAAAAACCTGCGAGGTTTGCGCTGCTGGAGTAACTGCTGAACTAGTGAACTCTTCTTACATCACTTGAGGCTGTAACGAAATTGCGAACGGTGGGTGCCAGTGTGGGTAGAGGCGACAACAGACATGCAGCCAGCCTAAAGACAACATGCGGTGCGAAAGTATAATAGGATGCAGCTGTCAGCTGATTCAATCAAGGTTGTCCTCTGAAGGCCAAAACTCACAAACGCAAAACTTCGACTTCCAATCGCGAATGAGGTTGGTTATGCATGCATATTTCTAGTATTTACGTTAATCAAGTGAATTTTCCCCACAGGAGTATTAAAGCATGTCCTACAAACAACATTCTTTTAACGTTTAATGTTTGAAAATCCAATCAATTCACACGGGTTTGCTATCGAGTTTGATTAGACGAGCAAATAGAATCCGAAATAGGTAATAATCGCAGGAATTCGTAAAATTTAAATCACCTTTTAACGCAAAACCGAAACGGCTTGTGAACTACGGAGTGTCAGAAGTATGAGTGACATATTGTATGCAAATCCGTCGCGCTTTTCAGTCGTGGTTTTGAGGGTCAACGGGGTCAACCCTCAACTGAAAATATATTAAGCAGAACTGCGACATTTCGAGTTTTATATGCGGACTCATACAATGCATTTACATCACACCAGCGCTTGAATTGGGTTTCGTAGAGGACGCGGAGCCGGGGTGAAATTGATGGGGTGAAAAAAATGGCCCCCAAATTAACTGGCCCGTTTTCTACCAAAACATAGTGAAAGTGGTGACTGATTGTAAGTGGTGACATTGATTGTTACAGGGATGCCGGAAAGGGGGGCGCAGGGGGCATCGTCCCCCTTGCCCTTTAGTAAGGGGGGAAGGGGGAGGGGCGAAAGTGCCCTTATAGATCTTATAGATAAAAATTCTAACCCAAAAAATATGAGGTACAACGATTAAAAAGTATGAATTACGGGTGAAATGTACGTAATATTGAAATATACGTGAAATTTTCTGGAATATTGTGTCAAAGATTATGTTTTCAAAATGTTTGCCCTTGTTTTGGTGAATTAAGGTCCCGGAAAAAAATTTCGGAAACGAAATATTAATTAGTGATTGCCCTTAGGGAAGCCTCACATATCGATTTTGTCCATGAGAAACGTCATATGTTCGTTTCTCTGGAGACCCCCCACCCCCCTTTAGAAACTTCACACATTTTATCGATATTTTCTTCTTATAGTACACATGAATAAGGTAATTTTCTATATACATTTTTTCGGTCGGCTATTGGCGATGCTTCCGCGAGGAATATGACATACTCTTTTTTTATTATAAATATGAACTTCAAAATTTCCAACGTTTCTCAAAACAACTTTTTTGCATGAAATCGAAATATTGATAATTTTAGCGCGCTTTTCTTGAAATTTGAGTGTTTACAATGCAAGGAAGCCGTAATAATATAAATGCATAGGTATAGAACAGGTATGGTATTACGAATGTATAGACTGGTGTTTGTATCAAATTATTTTCTTTTTTATATTCTGCAAAGATAAAAACTATCGAATTTTTCCATGATGTTTACAGAGAAATGTCACAGCTGCCAACCCCCCACCCCCAAACGAACATATGACGTTTCTCGTGGAAAAAATCGAAATGTGAGGCTTCCCTTACGTCAACATTGCCCCTCCGAATGAAATGCAAAACTCAAGCACGCTTGAAATCTGATACGATTTGCTTCAAATTTTAAATGCGCCGCAGCAATTAGTTCTAAATATTGCGGGAACCACTAACTACTTTTAATTAAAAATTAAACAATGGTAACTCTGAAGAAGGTAAATCGTAAATGTTTTGAAAAGTGTTTATTCGACTAAATTTTAATCATTCCTGATGATGACTAAAAGTCTATTACTAATTAAAATCTAGTCGTGCTAGAATGTATAAGTCAAGCAGTCACGGGGTCACACTTGATTAAAAAAGTGCAGATGACTTATCTAATAATCTAAAAGTCTATTGAAACCATATTCTATTGAATTTCGTAACATTTTAATTAAGCATTATAATTCATATAGTGTATTTTGGTCAGAGGTAGAACGTGTATTGCTTTATTTGAAATATCAAAGAATGCGCGATCTTCATTCTGACCTCGAACGGCAATAGCAGGATAGTTTTCGTTAGTATACGAAAGAGGTTTGACTACAAAAAGGCACAATCGTTTGTATCCGTCCCACCTACTTGGTGTCTGCGACATTTTCATTAATAGCCATTTACTCGACTTTACAATATTGGTGCATTGATGTTGTGATTGTGAAGATAACCAAGATATTTTAAAACTAGCTCCGCTTCTATCTCTATCAAAATGATATGTCCAAATTTCCTGTCTTTTGCCTCTTAAAACTGAACATTAGTATTGGGTAAAATATCTAATTAACCACTTGAGATGCACGATTCAAACACACCATGGTTCAAGCAAGAATTATATATATGGACTAGATTGTCTACATATATCAATTATTTATTTATTGTATATCAATAGACATTTATTAGGCCTTAATTAAAGAGCGTGCAAAAATGCGAGCAAGAGTAATTTTAAGGCGTGCGGGCATTTGGAGACAAAAATATTAAATTAAAGCAAACCGCTTTACTGGGATATAAACCAACATTTTCTAATACATATTGCCCGCTTCTAAAACGGAGCCTATCTCCACGTGTTCCCCAGGATAAATTACATGAGTATTCCTTTCATGTTTATTTTACGCAACTCTTAAAACCCCAGTTAAAAGTTGTATATTATATGACTTATATTACTCTGTCAAACGCTGCTTCTTTCTCCAGTGATATAATCTCCAACGGTCAGTACCAACTGTAGGTAGAGATATGCAACCTCCTGAAGAATACAAGCAGAACTTCGACGTTTCGAGAAAAGGTGCGCAAAGGCCATACGTCGAAGTTCTGCTTAGATTTTTCAGGAAATTGCATATCCTTAATTGACACCGCAGCAGTTTGGTTTCCTTCATCAGGCATTCCAGTTTCTTCTTGTCGTGAAACTGAACCATGAATGCGCAGGGGTTATCCTTTTCAAGACTCAGTCTATATGCTAGAAATCTGTTGAGAAAATAACATTCACAACTTCGCGTAGTGATAATTTGCTGTTTACTGTGAAGCCATGCATGCATATATTTCACCGTGCAGATAAACATGCAAATTAGGTAGAAAGGAAGTAGGCCTACAATCCTGGTCAATAATCCTTGGCGCACTTAGTCGAAATAGCATAACCTTTACTTCATTTCTGATTACCATATAAATATTTGCCAATTTTATACAAAATTTCATGTCCAAACACCCCATATCCCCCTTATCAATGTTGTGTAACACCTTGGACGTATAACACACTACAGACAACATTGAACGGGAGAAAGGGGGGTTGCTATGCTTGTTATTGAAGTGGGAGTCAAATTTCGCACAGTCAGTGTCAAGTGCGCCAATATTATTGACCAGGATTGTCCGAATATAAAGATGAAACTAAAATTTATGTACATATATAATTTTGACTCAGAATGTACCGAAGCATTATTTACGTGTTTTCCACATATATTGGGAGGCGTGTTCTAGATGATTTCATTGGGAGTTATTGAAAACCTAGCGTGCGCGTCGTAATCTTGATAATTATGACGTCATATGTGGGGGGTGTTACTATGAATCATGATAATCCCGTACGCGTATATTAAGTGAGGCTGACTAGAAAATAAAATTGAATAATATGCATTTCGATAATTAGATTCATTTAAGGATGATTTACACAAGAAAAATCATAGCAAAGACAAGGGCTTTGGTACTTTATTATAGAAAGGAATCGGGTTTTTCGAATAGGGAGATCGCGAGAAAATGTCATATAAGCCCTTCATCAGTAGCAAGAATATAGAGGGAAGACCAACAACCAGCTGCGCTGAGATCTAAACAATTAAAAGGCAACAAGTCGCCCAAGAAAAGTTGACGAGCGATCGTAAATGTCACTATTTTGAAAGGATTGGAAAGGTGTGGATCTCAAAGTTCCCTATAAGAAAATGAATGGCAATTTCTTTGCAGAGTTCATTGGAAAGCATTTTAATACTTGTTTTGCAAAGTGCGGACGTAAAAAAAACGATCGTCGCCTGTTTCTCATGGATAATGACCAATTACAAACGAGTAAAGCAGCGCGAAAAGCAATGGAAAAAATCGAGGCTGAATTTCACAAGATTCCGGCTAGATCGCCGGACCTAAACCCGATTGAAAATGTCTTTCACTTGGTAAAGAAAAGTCTCGAGAATGAAGCAATTGCTAATAATATAACATTATAACGTAAGAAACGTTCCAAGACTTTTCAGCGCGGGTTTTAAAATCCTTGGAAAATCTGTCAACCGATATAATCGATCGTACTATTTCAAGCCTGTCAAGTCGAGTAGATGCTGTTCTTAAAGCAAGAGGAAATCGCATAAAATACTAGGAGTTCTATCTTTTACTGTTATATATGGTAATTCAAGGCAGAGTAAGGGCAGTATAGATCAAAATACGTGTAGCCATTTTCGCAAATAGGCAATTAGCTTGCTGTCAACAAGTAGATTAAATGCTAAGTACAATTACACGTCTTCACAGCGTGACTCCAATGGTGCAGCAACGCAAAAGTACAAACAGTGTTCCCTTGATATTTCCTAATTATTTGCCAAGGATGCAGAAATTTTTGTTTTCGGATACACAAAGTGGTTTGCATTACTTGAATAAATGCATTTATTCATTATAAAATCTTATTTAGGTCATTATTGCTAAATTAAGAACAGTACTCCACAAACCTAGCTTAAATTCCTAGACTATCTCACTGAATTCTTTAGGAAAATGGGGAACACTGTTCAAAATCATGCAAGATATAGTTATAATTTATTTATTTCGAAGCAAATACGTTGACCATTAAATATCATTATCAAAGATCGTTATATTATTTGCAAATATTAAAATTTAATAGATTTACAATGAATTTTTTGATGGAGTAATATATGGACCTATGACTTTATGTTATGCATATCTGGGCGTGAAACATTATAGGTTGTAAGTGCTTATTACGTCAATGACTAATGCGATTTAGTTATAACTTGTAATCTAAAACAAACTTAGCAAAGCAATGTCCACATGGTATTCAGTCGTCAAATGTAACTTGTGAAATATATACAAGACCACAAATTACGGCTTAAATACTTGTTTCCATCTGATTATATTTTTCAATATGTGCACACGCCCATAATGTTGTTAGATTGAGTACGATTAAAGTGAAAATTCTAAAAAAGGATATATGTTTGAAATAGCGAACTTTAATATGTCATTATTATTATATTTTATTATTATTATACTATAAATGTTTATTATTTATTTAGACGCACGTTATTAATACGCAAAACATTATTAAAGGTTCACTAACGATTCAAGAATTAAGGCCGATGTATTGTGATGAAATAAAAATAAAAATGTAAGATAATACACATTCAGACAATCCTGGTCAATAATCCTTGGCGCACTTAGTCGAAATAGCATAACCTTTACTTCATTTCTGACTACCACATACATACTTGCCCATTTTATGCAAAATTCCATGTCCAAACACCCCCTATCCCCCTTATCAATGTTGTGTAACACCTTGGACGTATAACACACTACACGCAACATTGAACGGGGGAAGGGGGGTTGCTATGCTTGTTATTGATGTGGGAGTCAAATTTCGCACAGTCAGTGTCAAGTGCGCCAATATTTTTGACCAGGATTGTCCGAATATAAAAATGAAACTAAAATTTATGTACATATATAATTTTGACTCAGGTGTTTTCTACGTATATTGGGTGGCGTGATCTAGATGATTTCGTTGGGAGTTATTGAAAACCAAGCGTGCGCGTCGTAATGTTGATAATTATGACGTCATATGTCCGGGGTTGGTGTTACTATGAATCATGATAATCCTGTGTATATAAAATGAGGCTGGCTACAAAATAAAATTGAATAATATGCATTTCAATAATTAGATTCATTTAAAGATGATTTACACAAGAGAAACCACAGCAAAGATAAGGGCTTTGGTACAGTTTATTATAGAAAGGAATCGGGTTTTTCGAATAGGAAGATCGCGAGAAAATGTCATATAAGCAAGCCCTTTATCAGTAGCAAGAATATAGAGGGAAGACCAACAACCAGCTGCGCTGAGATCTAAACCGTTAAAAGGCAACAACTTAAGGTCGCCCAAGAAAAGTTGACGAGTTGATCTATTGTCGCTATAGCTTATGTGAAAGGTGTGGTTCTCAAAGTTCCCTATGAGAAAATGAATGGCAATTTCTTTGCAGAGTTCATTGGAAAGCATTTTAATACTTGTTTTGCAAAGTGCGGACGTAAAAAAACGATCGTTGCCTGTTTCTCATGGATAATGACATCAAACGAGTAAAGTAGCGCGAAAAGCAATGGAAATAATCGAGGCTGAATTTCACAAGATTCCGGCTAGATCGCCTGACCTGAATCCGATTGAAAATCTCTTTCACTTGGTAAAGAAAAGTCTCAAGAATGAAGCAATTGAAAATAATATAATGTGAGAAACGTTTCAAGACTTTTCAGCGCGGATTTTAAAATCCTTGGAAAATCTGTCAACTGATGTAATCTATCGTACTATTTCAAGCCTGTCAAGTCGAGTAGATGCTGTTCTTAAAGCAAGAGGAAATCGCATAAAATACTAGGAGTTCTATCTTTTACTGTTATATATAGTAATTCAAGGCAGAGTAAGGGCAGTATAGATCAAAATAGGTGTAGCCATTTTCTCAAATAGGCAATTAGCTTGCCGTCAACAAGTAGATTAAATGCTAAGTACAATTACACATCTTCACAGCGTGACTCCAATGGTGCAGCAACACAAAATTACAAACAGTGTTCCCTTGATATTTCCTAATCATTTGCCAAGGATGCAAAAATTTTTGGTTTTGAATACACAAAGTGGTTTGCATTACTTGAATAAATGCATTTATTCATTTTAAAATCTTATTTAGGTCATTATTGCTAAATTAAGATCAGTGCTCCACAAACCTAGCTTAAATTCTTTGACTATCTCTCTGAATTCTTTAGGAAAATGGGGAGCACTGTTCAAAATCATGCAAGATATAGTTATAATTTATTTATTTCGAAGCAAATAAGTTGACAATTAAATATCATTATCAAATATCATTATATTATTTGCAGATATTAAAATTTAATAGATTTACAATGAATTTTTTGCTGGAGTAATGCGTGGACCTATGACTTTATGTTATGCATATCTGGGCGTGAAACATTATAGGTTGTAATTAAGTGCTTATTACGTCAATGACTAATGCGATTTAATTATAACTTGTTATCTAAAACAAACTTAATAGCAAAGCAATGTCCACTTGGTATTCAGTTGTCAAATGTAACTTGCGAATATATACAAGACCACAAATTACGGCTTAAGTACTTGTTTCCATCTGATTATATTTTTCAAAGTGTGCACACGCCCATAATGTTGTTAGATTTAGTACGATTAAAGTGAAAATACAAAAAAAAGGATACATGTATCAAATAGCGTACTTTAATATGTCATTATTATTATATTTTATTATTATTATATTATAAACGTTTATTTATTTAGACGCACGTTATTAATACGCAAAACATTATTAAAGGTTCACTAACGATTCAAGGATTAATGCCAATGTATTTTTATGAAATAAAAATAAAATTGTAAGATAATGCACATTCAGACAATCCTGGTCAAAAATCCTTGGCGCACTTAGTCGAAATAGCATAACCTTTACTTCATTTCTGACTACCACATACATACTTGCCCATTTTATGCAAAATTCCATGTCCAAACACCCCCTATCCCCCTTATCAATGTTGTGTAACACCTTGGACGTATAACACACTACACACAACATTGAACGGGGGAAGGGGGGTTGCTATGCTTGTTATTGATGTGGGAGTCAAATTTCGCACAGTCAGTGTCAAGTGCGCCAATATTTTTGACCAGGATTGTCCGAATATAAAAATGAAACTAAAACTTATGTACATACATAATTATGACTCAGAGGTGTTTTCTACGTATATTGGGTGGCGTGATCTAGATGATTTCGTTGGGAGTTATTGACAACCAAGCGTGCGCGTCGTAATGTTGATAATTATGACGTCATATGTCGGGGGTTTATGTTACTATGAATCATCATAATCCCGTGTATATAAAATGAGGCTGGCTACAAAATAAAATTGAATAATATGCATTTCGATAATTAGATTCATTTAAGGATGATTTACACAAGAGAAACCACAACAAAGACAAGGGCTTTGGTACAGTTTATTATAGAAAGGAATCGGGTTTTTCGAATAGGAAGATCGCGAGAAAATGTCATATAAGCCCTTTATCAGTAGCAAGAATATAGAGGGAAGACCAACAACCAGCTGCACTGAGATCTAAACTGTTAAAAGGCAACAACTTAAGGGTCGTCCAAGAAAAGTTGACGAGCGATCGTAATTGTCGGTATAGCTTATGTGAAAGGTGTGGTTCTCAAAGTTCCCTATGAGAAAATGAATGGCAATTTCTTTGCAGAGTTCATTGGAAAGCATTTTAATACTTGTTTTGCAAAGTGCGGACCTAAAAAAACGGTCGTCGCCTGTTTCCCATGGATAATGACCCATCACAAACGAGTAAAGTAGCCCGAAAAGCAATGGAAAAAACCGAGGCTGAATTTCACAGGATTCCGGCTAGATCGCCTGACCTGAATCCGATTGAAAATCTCTTTCACTTGGTAAAGAAAAGTCTCGAGAATGAAGCAATTGAAAATAATATAACGTACGAAACGTTCCAAGACTTTTCAACACAGGTTTTAAATCCTTGGAAAATCTGTCAACTGATGTAATCTATCATACTATTTCAAGCCTGTCAAGTCGAGTAGATGCTGTTCTTAAAGCAAGAGGAAATCGCATAAAATACTAGGAGTTCTATCTTTTACTGTTATATATAGTAATTCAAGGCAGAGTAAGGGCAGTATAGATCAAAATAGGTGTAGCCATTTTTTCAAATAGGCAATTAGCTTGCTGTCAACAAGTAGATTAAATGCTAAGTACAATTACACATCTTCACAGCGTGAGTCCAATGGTGCAGCAACACAAAATTACAAACAGTGTTCCCTTGATATTTCCTAATCATTTGCCAAGGATGCAAAAATTTTTGTTTTCAAACACACAACGTGGTTTGCATTACTTGAATAAATGCATTTATTAAATTTAAAATCTTATTTAGGTCATTATTGCTAAATTAGGATCAGTGCTCCACAAACCTTGCTTAAATTCCTTGACTATCTCTCTGAATTCGTTAGGAAAATGGGGAGCACTGTTCAAAATCATGCAAAATATAGTTATAATCTATTTATTTCGAAGCAAATAAGGTGACCATCAAATATCATTATCAAATATCGTTATATTATTTGCAGATATTAAAATTTAATAGATTTACAATGAATTTTTTGATGGAGTAATGTGTGGACCTATGACTTTATGTTATGCATATCTGGGCATGAAACATTATAGGCTGTAGTTAAGTGCTTATTACATCAATGACTAATGCGATTTAATTAGGCTATAACTTGTTATCTAATACAAACTTAATAGCAAAGCAATGTCCACATGGTATTCAGTTATCAAATGTAACTTGTGAAATATATACAAGACCACAAATTACGGCTTAAATACTTGTTTCCGTCTGATTATATTTTTCAAAGTGTGCACACGCCCATAATGTTGTTAGATTAAGTATGATTAAAGTGAAAATACAAAAAAAGTATACGTGTATTAAATAGCGTACTTTAATATGTCATTATTATTATATTTTATTATTATTATATTATAAATGTTTATTATTTATTTAGACGCACGTTATTAATACACAAAACATTATTAAAGGTTAATTAACGATTCAAGGATTAAGGCCAATGTATTTTTATGAATAAAAATAAAATTGCAAGATAATGCACATTCAGACAATCCTGGTCAAAAATCCTTGGCGCACTTAGTCGAAATAGTATAACCTTTACTTCATTTCTGACTACCATATACATACTTGTCCATTTTATGCAATATTTCATGTCCAAACACCCCCTATCCCCCTTATCAATGTTGTGTAACACCTTGGACGTATAACACACTACACACAACATTGAACAGGGGAAAGGGGGTTGCTATGCTTGTTATTGATGTGGGAGTCAAATTTCGCACAGTCAGTGTCAAGTGCGCCAATATTTTTGACCAGGATTGTAGCTTGGCTATATCCATTGGCAAATGAGTAGGTTTCCCTCACTTTCGCTTTAGCTTGATTGAATAATTCAGCTCGCCTCTGTAAGAGGGTGGGGTCTTCTAAACCCAATTCTGATGCTGCTTCATTTATAGCATTTTCATTTTTCGTTAAAGGACAATTAAATTTAAGTCCATATATCTTTGCTTGTTCTCTAAGCTTTTCTTTGTGTGAGGGTGGGGAAACCTACCACATGGTAACACAAATTACATTGTGATTTTTGACAAACAGTAAAATAATTTAGATTAACGAGTTTATTTAATGTAACAGTTAGCAGTAAATTATTTATCTGCTATACATCAGAATGTATTCCTTTCAGAGGTTCTCCCTCAAGTCCCTTTTTGTTCAGATCCAAGTACAGCAAGTTAGAGTGTTAGTTATGGAAATCAAAATTTATCTGTGTTGTTGGTATATATATATATATATATATATATATATATATATATATATATATATATATATATATATATATATATATATATACGGGGTGTATCAAAAAAAGCGCAATCCTCGACTGAAATGTAAATTGCTAAACAAATAATAGACGAAAACGTTAAAGTTTACATTCATTTTAAAGCGTGGCCATTCAGCTTTCTAACAGTGGATTGTTTCTTAAATTTGACTCATTGGTTCGCGGGTAATAATACTTTACGTTATTGCGTTTGGAGATTAAAAAAATTGAGATGGAATAACAAATCGTTCTCATGAAAATAACTGATTTTTTCATTAAAATAAAAAAATGTTGCATTTTATTAAATGGATTGTAACAATAAGTATAATTACGGCTTTTCTTCCACTATTTTTAACTCAGTTTGAAACTTCAAATGCGATATAATTTTGGCTTGGACCATCTAAGCTGACTGACATCAACTTGCTATAATTTCTGTTTACATTACATCGCAATTCGATGACACTCTGGCTCAGACACCAGAATGTTTTGACGATTTTTAGCATTCGTTTAGGATTTTCAAACAACCTGGTCTCTTTTAAAATACTTTTAATTTGTTCTTACGTGGTTTTCCAGATGTAGTGACGACAACATTAAAGTTTAAAGAAGAAAATTCTAACATTTAAACCGACTAAACAATAACATAGTAAACTTGCATAATTAAACAGCAACTAAAAATGATAGGTTTTACTAAATCTTTTCCTGTGCAATTATTACTAGCATTGGAGACAAGGATAATAGTTTGTTTGAAAGAGAAAAGAACAGGCTTTAAAGTAAGCCTAAAAGCGTTTAACTAGAAATAGTATTTCGAAAGTTATTAAGCACAAAAGATGAATTGCGTTTATTTTGATACACCCTGTATATATATATATATATATATATATATATATATATATATATATATATATATTAAAAATTTTAGTCTACAAGTTTGAAATCTGTTCCAACTTGCTTGAATTGTAACTCAATCTACACTAGATTAGATTAGAGTAGGAAGTCACATCACGATAAATATTAATTTTTAATTGCAGTTCTCTTCACGATTTCTTGTGGCAAATGTGAATTTCATCACCCAAATGAAATTGTTGGCATTCTTCTTTTGATATATTTTGACACTAGTCTGGTCATTGGTAATGAAGATATCCCGTTTTGTGATAAGCACTTGAAAAAAACTCTGAGAGGATGTGAAAGGCTGGAATAAAAGATGCTTGAATAATAAAGACAAGAGATGCTTGAATAATAAAGATTCAAGGGTGGTGTTCAATTTTCAATGCATGCTCAATTTTCAAAGACAACAGTGGAGTCTAAAACCTGAAAACCTGTGAGTGCCTTCAGTCTTATAACCACAGACAAAATTAATTTAGCTTGGCTCTGCTTAAGTGGCAGTCTCCCTAACGGCAGTCTGTTGACTTCACATCAGAAAACCAATTTCTCTGAAACTTGGCACATCAAAAGGGTTTGGTACAGAACTAATAAAAATGGAATACTTTTTGGGAAATTTTTTTTCTTCTCTTTCCTAGAAACTTATTTCAAGGCCAAAATTTTGCAATATTTAGGACTGCACCGTATCAAAACTAAACGCACTGGCAAAACTTTTCATTCGCCATTTGTTTGTTTCATCTTTACTTATAAAAAATACAAATGTCAAATTCACTGATTGCTTAGTTGATAAGATCTTGGCCTTGAAAGGTTGCAGAAGTGCACTAAATTATAACAAATTCCCTAAAGCCACCATTCTTTATACCTAAAAAATATCCAAAAGACCTAAATTGTGAAATGAAAAACTATCAGCTGTATGCAGTTAACTAACTTCATCAAGCGAACAGTAACAGCCAGAAATAATAATAACTTTATTTCAGTGTCCAGGTTATTTCATTTTTACAGCTAATTGGTGACACTATATGTCTAAAAGTTTACAATAAATTATAACATGTATATGTATATATTATAGACTATATAAATACTGTATGAAAAAGATAAGTGTATCTGTTCACTCCCTGTTTGCTTCTACACAGCCAGAAACGCGCAAGTTGCAACAAGTCTGTTGACAACTTGGAACAGACTTGTTATCAACAGACTTGATGCAAGTTGTCATCAACAGACTTGATGCAAGTTGTCGCGAACAGACTTGTTGCAAGTTGTCATCAACAGACTTGATGCAAGTTGTCGTCAACAGACTTGATGCAAGTTGTCGTCAACAGACTTGATGCAAGTTGTCGTCAACAGACTTGATGCAAGTTGTCGTCAACAGACTTGATGCAAGTTGTCGTCAACAGACTTGATGCAAGTTGTCGTCAACAGACTTGATGCAAGTGGTTGTCAACAGACTTGATGCAAGTGGTTGTCAACAGACTTAATGCAAGTTGTCGCGAACAGACTTGATGCAAGTTGTCGCGAACAAGTTGTAGCAAGTCTGCAGTTGGCATGGCAACACGAAACATGCGTTATCTCGCGTGTCTTCGCACAATCGTGAATATCACAAAATCAGTGGAAAAATACAAATATGCAAGGTTAGAAATTTATATTTTATCTGGAAAAATCTTATTATTTGCCGGTGAAAGCGGACAAGAAATCAATATCTCGTCTAAAGTGAAACATAAGGTTGATACAATCCATCGTATATACTCAAATTTACAGATTTGTCGAATAATGTCGGTAAATATTTACTAGTATTTATAGTAAAACTCAACCTGATGAAGGCCATGAAAAAGAGCAGTGATTCAGAGTATTTTGACCTAAGTAAATGCTGTCATACTGTAAGTTTAACAAATAAGTATGTTAAAAATAATTATATCACATTCTCTGGCACTGTAGAAAGACTAGTCCTTTTCAATAACACTCTGTACTTTTAATTCAAGGACAATGTCAACAATATCATTGGACAATTTTACTGCTCAAATGGACGGGTTCCCACAGAGGATGCTGAAAAAAAAGTGAGATTTGTTATATATTATAAACATGTTCTTTCATAGTGCATAGGTTTTGGCAATACCAATGGTAATTAAATTGCTTTACATTAAAGAAATACAATATAAATAGTACAGTTGCACAATAAATCACCTTACCATTGCTTACAATAGAGATTATTGGAAGAGTTTGAGGACTCAGCAACAGGCATGACGGTGGTGGAACTGATGCTTCGCTGCTTAAAATATGAGTCATCTAAGATGTCTTATTGGAGAAGTGAAGAGTGTCGAAGGGTACTGCAACAATTTTTACAATTCTAAAAAGAAAGTTAGATTTTTTAAAGATGATGTCCACTCCTGTGCACATGCGCAAACTTTGTTTATGTTTTGAAATGCTATATTTGTAAAATATGATATACTAACGGAATATCTAACACTTTTCTGGTTCGCTATACTTGTAAATGAATATAAACTGTACGTTTCAATTCAAAATGTTTGAAAGATGCAAAATTTGGGCAATGTTTATATCTGGGGGTACCCCTTTGTTATGAGCAGAACTGATGCACAGAACGGGGTGGACATCATCTTTAAATATTTTCATTCCATGAGAAATCATAAAGGTTAAGCCAATTGGGCAAATGAATTTGCTAGATTTTACAAAATACTAACCTCAATTATAAAATATGATTTTGTCATTTTAGCTTCTGGGAATTACTGGTTATGGAGCAATGGCCAACATGTCGTCCAGGAATCTGACTCTCAGGGTGTGTTGACACTTGTTGGCCAAAAATACAATGCGGCTGCAACATCACCCCTAAACAAGGAAATTGTGTTGGCAGTGAGTACCAAGACTTCAAAATTGAGGAATGGTTGAACTAAAAGTAAATGTAGGTTACCTTTATTTATTTATAATCTTCCACTGTAGCACAAGTTCATACGAGAGAAAACAACCGCAGCAGCAAAGAAACTGAAGGATTTCTGGGGAAGCTTCTACCAATGGAAGCTGGAGAAGTTTCCCAGCACTATCACCAGGGAGGAATGGCAGATGATGAGAAGGGAGGCCAAGCTGCCTACCCAGAATATGTTTAAAAGAAATAAAGAAAAATAGTTTGATATTATTTTACCAATAACCAATACAGAATCACTAGTGTACACTATGTAACTCAAATACTCAATGTGATCAAAATATACTTTGGTCAAAGTATTTGAAAGTGCAAACAACTTTCAAGTATTTGATCAAAAACTTTGACAGATTAAGTTTGATAATGTGCACTAGCTTTATAAATATAAAACCAATGTAAATCCTGTGATTTAGTGATTTAGAGATTTTCAAACCAAATTCCCATAGTGCATACATTTTGTTACATGAGATGACTTAACTAAATATCATTTTGCTATGGCGACTTCTTGCCTCCACACTTTTCCACAGAGCATTATCTATATCAATCTGGATTTATATTGGTGTTCAAATAAATATAATATTTAATAGTTGTATGTTTAATACAACTGGGTATGTGCATGAAAATATTAAAATAATCGTTATTTCAACACGTGCCATAATATTCATTCATGTAATTTTAAAAACATGTTAATAATATATTCATACGTTTTGCATACCTTTCTTTTAAAACAGACATGTTCAAACCAAACCAAAAGAGCTCATGCAGTGGTATATTGTCAAATATCCAAAGCTGGCCGATTTATATAAAATTTTACTGTTGTATATTAATAAGCATTTTTATAAATAACGATGTACACAGTCTTGATTAACAATCCAAGAATAATTCAAGCAACAAGAAAGTTCAGAAACCTAAATTAAAAGTACGAAAGTCGCCTGCTATTGCTCTGAATCGGCGAAGCCATTTGCTGAAAAATTATGAACCACATGGAGAATGGTTAGCACTATTTTCCATCCAGTAAACTGACCTGACTTCATTTTCGCAAGATAGAAGAGGTGTTGAATCACTTGAATGGCTATGTAACTAACCCAAACCCTACCCCTACTCTAACCCCTAACCCTAACCTCAACCCTAACCGAATTAATAAAAAAATCCAAAAAGAAACGAGTTTACAAAATCCATAGGGCGGTTTGCTGGATGGAAAAAAGTGCTAACCATGGAGAATTGGCGAAATATTCGGTACGTACTATTTTTTGGTGAGCCGACACGAAGACGGCCAAGCGCTTAAATTTTCGCGACAAGTACAACTATGTTTGCTTATATAAACGCAACTATGTTTTTCAAATAGTTGGTTGTTGAAATGTTCATAATAATTACAATTAATAAAACGTTTGTAACGTCTCAAGTTTAAATCAGCTTGATCATGCAGCCGCAATTTGCATCAAGGTTGTTCCAACAACTTGACGCAGGCTTGAAAATATCAGCTTGCAACAAATCTGTTAAGAACAACTTGCGACAAGCTTATTGAATCAACAATGCTGTTGCAAGTTGTTCTAACAGACTTGCTAAACCTTGTCATCAACAGGCTTGTTACAAGTTGTTCCAACAACTTGATGCTGGCTTGATAATATCAACTTGCAACAAGTCTGTTTTAACAACTTGCAACAGCATTGTTGATTCAACAAGCTTGTCGCAAGTTGTTCTAACAGACTTGTCAAGACTTGTTATCTACAGGCTTGCTGCAAGTTGTTTCAACAAGTTGCAACAAGTCTGCAAATGACAGGTTGCAACAAGCCTGATTTTAACAAGCTTGTTGCAACTTGATGAAATTAACAAGCTTGTTGCAACTTGTTGACAAGTTGCAACAAGCCGGTAAAGTTGACAACTTACAACAAGTCTGTGGCGTTTCTGGCTGTGTAGTCAGTGTTATAGGATTTGTAATGCAAAATAGGTGAGGTTTTAAAGGGCTTTGCATGACTGATGCTATAAACAACAGTTGCTGGGAGGTTAGTTGGCTGTTTATGTCATAGAAAAATTTCACAAAAAAGTAACCGTCCCTTAAAAAGGTTGGCAATAGCTCTGTCGGTTCTTTCTACGAGCTGTATGCCCTAAGCAACAAATGTCCAAATTACACTTTGTTGTATGTATTTTAAGTTGTACGTACGATGAATGATTTATTCATTATCCATATCTTTTTCTTTACTATACATATTATTGTATACTATGTATTTTAGGCCTGACCATTTGAAAGGATCTAGGATAGGGTCTAGAAATTATTTTGTGGCAATACAAGGCTTTTCAGGTCGACTAATTAGGCCTGTACGTCTGCGAACAGACAGTGACAAATATGGCGACTTTCTCGCAGATGCATGTACACCTAGCGTACCTACTTTTTAAAGGGTGGCGGTATTGTATATGAAATATTGGACTCTGCAGTAATCTTCCCCAGAAACTAAGAAAATAAGAAATGCCACGCATGCGCAGGATGCAGTATTACCATTCTCAAACCCAGAGCTCCCCCGCTCCTCAGTCCCCGCGGCGAACCTCTGCTGACAGCTATTTGGGGGCCTTCGTTAATTGACTGATACGGCACGCATGCGTAACATAAAATGAGCTTCTAACTAAATAACATCAAGATTTGTTTGTTAGTTGTCATTTCAAATTTTTCTTCTAAGCATGTGTCCGGTACAGGGGGGGGGGCTCTGGGTTCAAGAATAGACTATTACATATGTTACACAAAGCTCGTCAGGGGTCACACAGACACATAGAATTTACCTCCTGGACTATTTTTGGGTTGTCAACTACCGTAGTCAACGACACTATAAACTATGTGAATTTTTATCTATGTGCTTATTTTCAACAGCCACATTCCTTCACCATATTGTTGATGTGACCAATTAAAGCGGATTTTCTGTCTCCAGATTTGCACAGCAACTCAAAATAATCACATACGGCCGTAAGCTCTTTTACAGTAAATTGCATCAATGCTCCTGCCTTAGACAGACTGCAAATGTCATGGTCTTCATATTGGATGGGATGCTTCAATGCTACTTGTTCCTCCCATTTCTTCTTCTCCAGTCTCGCCAGCTCGTCCTGAAGCAACTCCTCGTCTCCTTCATCCTCAGGATGTGCCCCAGCGGAACTCTCACCCGTCATTCTCTTTCTCTGCACAGTGGCTAGGTGGAAGAAAAACCCTTTGATCTGGACCTTTGCCAGCCACTCCTCTTGTGAAAATGCTTGCTGCCCGTCTGCAGTCTTGATATTCCTCATGTCCACTGACACCTGGGCTGGATCTGCATTCCTTCCTGTCCGCAAGCTGAGGTCAAAACAGGACTGAAGATATTTTTAACACGTTCAGAAAATCGGGTCCCACTACCTCTGTGTTTCTGTAAGGCCCATCCGGCCTTGAGGGGTTCCGACCTTGAGGGGATCATGTCGTTTGATGTGGAGGGCTGATGCAGGGGTTCCTGGTTCACATTCATGTTAGAAAACTTCAGCACCCACTCATGACACAGCTTGTCATATGTGCTCTCTTGGCTTTTGCTGACAGGGGTATGATGGCCAAAGTTGACTTGAGGCTGCACATCAGAGGCTGACGAGGCTGCACGTCCCAGAAATCCAGGTCCTCGCTGACAGAGATGTTGCCGGCCGGAACTTGTACATGCAGTGTACTCCAAGACAATAGCTGACCTGACCCAACTTCAAAGGCTTTCCACATTCGCAGCCCATTCTTTTCATATGAAAAGTTGTGGAAGCTGTTAAAGTTTAGAATCTTGTTGACCTTTATCTCTTTTACAGCCGGATCAACTTCGCATACAGTGGCTGTACAACCTTTAACCGGCCGCACCTTGAGAGCTGCGAACATGTCAGCTGCAGTCAGAACATTGTGGCCTTCATTGCAGTACTGTCTTATCACACCCTTTAGGGGACTGATGATTCGGTCGCACACGTCTTTGCCAAATTGTGGTTCGGAAAAGTTGTACCTTTAAAAGATTCGATTCATAATTCAGGATCTCACTTCACTCGTATACATTTCATTCATTCACTTATTCATTGAATTGATTATTCATTTAATTCATGAAAAATGTTAATGGTTATTAGTATAAACCTACTAGTAGGCTATAATGTATTGTGCGTTCTGATTGGCTATGTAGTAGTACTCTATTAGTTACGAAGGGCGCGAGAGTCAATGGCCGTTTTTAAGTATTAAAAGCTGTATTGAAATGGAAAAAGCTTATCAAAATGGCCTAATTTTGATTCTGGATTACACACAAACAAAGTCCTTGCAAACTGCTGACACGTGCGGTCAAATTTTAAAGTTTCTCAAGTTTGCTCGTAGTTTTGAACATGAAAGTGACAGGCCATTTTTTAAAATATATGCACAATGTTTGTTAATATTCCAAGCATAATTGTTGAAATTCAACAATACTTTGTAGCTATTTACCACTATTTTCTCAACCTCTTTAGTGTGTGCTTGTTTTAAGTACGAGTTCATGTATTTAGCTGTCATTTTAAAGAGTTTTTTTCGTTTAAATGTTAAGATTTTGGCCGAGTTTGTTTTTCACTTTTTCGTCATTTCGAGCCTTTTTAAGTCGAGTTTTTAGATTAAATTTTAATCTAAACTATTGTCTATGTATACTAGATTATGGAAATGGTTTGCCTCTTCATGTTCCAGATATTTTAAAGATTTGAACGACATTCGGATAATCGGATTCTTTTGCATGTGTGTGCATTTTTATTTGGCTTTTTAACTTAAACTTTATTTACTAATTTAGTAACAATTCGGAAAGTCATTTTGTGTTAGAAATTTTGGACTTTTTAAGCCTTGTTTCCTTCTTTTAAATAAGTTTTAATTAACCAAATTTTGTTTCTATAACAGTCTCCTGTTTTACGACATGTTTTTTAACGTTTTTAAAACTCACAAGTTGTATTTGTCAAGTCATTCCTGGAAGTTCGCAACATGCACTGAGTAGTTGTCAACAAGGCTGAGGCGAAATGTCGCCAAAGGAAAGCCATTTAAATGCTCATTTTGTTAAAACGTTATATTTTACATAAAAATCAAGTGAAAAATGCCGTTTCTTTATGTGGTTTATACTAAAACAATTAGACAACTCAGCTTCATTGTCTCTGAACAAATAGTCAACTTGGCTTCCCCTCGTTGCCTATTCGCTCATAGACAACTCGGCTTCATTGTCTAATTGTTAATTAAGAGAGGGCTGAAATTAAAGAGAAAGCAATTAGTGATGGGGGGGGGGGAGTGGGCAAAAGCAAAACATATATATGTGCAAGCAAAACTGAAATAAAAGGGAATGCATAGCCAAAAAAAAAGCCATGAACCACTAGAGCCGGGGCATCCAATAAAATATTCGAGCGAGACAGAAAAGTCCCCTCCTCCCCCCATCACTTTTCTAATAGTCCATCCCTTAGATTAATTAATTTAATACATTAATAATTAATTATAACTAGAAATACATGCATGCAGCAACCCCTTGCCTTTCATAACAGATGAAGTATAGAAATTCCACATGAAGTTTCATGTTTAAAATAATAGTAGTCACTATGGTAACATGAAAATAATATGAGAAAATAATACAAATCATTGATTTTCATAAAGAATCATTGATTTTCTAAAGAATCATTGATTTTCATAATCTGGAATGTAGTTTTAATCCGGTAAAATGTTTCGAAACTTTGCTGTGAAACTGCAGGGGAAACTGAAAAACTCGTTTTGCCGACAGTAGTTTGCTCGAAAATATGGTAAAATATATTTGCTTCATAGGCAGAAGCTAGTTTTTGAGTTATATTTTGGTCAAGCCATATTTGCTGTACGTAAAAAAGACCATTATAAACACACATAAAACACGATACCTTGTATTAAATACCAGCTTGCATATAAACATATTATTTACCGAGTTAAAAATGGCCTAAAAATTTCGCAGATATGAATGAAATCAAAAGCACAAAGCAAATACGGCACTTACCCAAGTCCCAAACATAGCCAAGTGGCCCAAAACAAAAATTTGTTAAAAACATCTGGTTCGTCTTCAAAAAAATTTGTGTTTATGTCAGCTTTTCATTGTTCATGTGCATTTCCTTGAGTTCAGTGACGGTAAACCACAATGCATATATACTTAGGATCTGGGTTTTCATGGTTTTGGCAGACATAGAACAGATAGATCTTGCGGAAAGATGGAGATGATGGCGAGAAACCATGGAACTCTATTTGAGGCTTAATATGGCCGAATGCACCGAGAAAGAACAATGTGATGCTTTTCGATATATAATCGGACAAGACGGCAGTGATATCTATAATATGATGGCATTTACAGAGTGTGAAGTCGACAAAATTGATATCTTGTTCACTAAATTTGAATAGTATTGTAAGCTGAGAAAAAACATCATGGAAAGATATAAATTCAATACTCGAGTCCAACGAAAAGACGAGACAGCTGATCAGTATGTTACAGACTTCAATCTCGAAGAATTGTAATTTCGGCTGCTTAGAAATGAGTTAATTTGAGATCGCCTTGTGTATGGGACCAACTCGGAGCAAATAAAAGAGCAACTATTACCTGGAGAAGAGCAATTAACTTTGGTCAAAGCTTTAAAGATTTGTCGGGCAGATGAACAGTCTAACAAACAATTAAAAGTGATGAATGGAGAAAACAATAAAGAAACAAAAATAAAGAAACAAACCACATGGAAAGCTGGTAAAGACCAGTACAAGACAGACAGCAAGCGTAAGAATTTCGCGAAGTGTTACAACAAGCAACAAGAATTTAAAAGCAAAAATTGTGGGAAGTCTCGTGCATCGAAGCTGGGCAGTATGGGAAAACATGTTTCAACTGTGGAAAGAATAATCATTTTTCTAAAGTCTGTCGAGTGAAGAGGAAAGTAGGTCTCGTTGAACATGATAAAAGTAAAGAACATTTGGAGCCTTTGTTCATTAGAGCGGTAAATTATTCATCAAGCAAGAGCAATAACAACGACGAAGATGAATATTTTAAAACACTTGTGATGCAAGACAAACAAATACAATTCAAGATCGACACTGGTTCGCAAGCTAATATACTCCCCATAACAACGTTTAGAAGTTTAAAAGATGTCCAGCTCGAGACGACAGCAGTCAAACTCACAAGCTACACAGGAGAACATTTGCCGGTATTGGGACAATGTTACTTGAAATGTAATGACAAAATTTTGAAGTTTATTTGTTGTTGACATGAAGCAAGTACCTATCGTGGATTTACAGACCTCGAAAGATCTGAACTTAATCAAGTTGGTTATGAACGTAAAGTTATCAAAGCGAGAAAATATGACGGCGAAATCTGTCAATGATATATATGGCCAGTCAATTTCCTAAAGTTTTTCAAGGGCTTGGTTGTTTGAAGAAACCTATGATATCCAAGTGGACCCGAAGGTTACTCCAGTTGTGAGCACATTGAAGAGTCAACCGGTAGCACTGAGATATTGACTTAACTCTTTCTCAGCGCGACCCTATTATCGCAATGCACTCATGCAATACGACTTTGACATGTCATATCTTCGGTTCGTTGAATGCTATGTGGACAAAAATACCACCATTTGATTCAGTGTAACGAAATCTCTTCATTCGTAACGATAGTTTTAGTCAATGGCAACATTATAGCGATTTATGAGCTTTGAAAGTAAAGCGAGATCGTATATGATCAAAATACGCATTATTACCAACAAATTATAAAAACATAAACATACCTTTCGCCCCCTTGAGACGTATGCTCATTTTGATATTCTTGATGAATTAAGCATTGAAAATACCATGTATAGTGTTATTTTCAAGCTTCTATCTTTAAAGTGTGACTTTTAGTGCCGAATTTTACATTTCTGCCCTGAATTTGTGATAATCCCAACCGGAAATATGATTAAATATTGTCGAAACAATGCCACGTTTGTATCACATGTCTCTGGAAATGCCAGAAATGGATTCTACAGGTCAAAGTGCACATATACGCGTGAGTTTGACGTCATCCCGGCTAAAGGAGCTCCTTATTGGCCAAGTATTGCATAATACACGTGCGTGCGAGTAAAACCCGATACTTTGAAAAATTCAAAATAAATATTTCTACTCGCCGTATTCATACGAAACTTTCTACACGAATGCGCTTGAATACAAAGGGTATTTTACTCATGTAGCCTTTCAGAAAATGACGAAAGGTTTAGAAAATATTCAACTTTTTCTCGTTTCCCGTTTTAATGTTTGGCCAAGCGGTGAAGTATAAATATATGATTGTTTCGGTTTGTGTAATGTTTTGACGGCACTTGACCCCCCGTTCGAAAGGTTATTTTATGAGGATTTCAATGGTGGGTTTTATTTTAAAGGGGGGTAAATACTCGCCGAGATATTTACATTAGAAATATTGAATCGTAATGTAATGCAAAACCACGCGCTGCGAAATGGAAGCAGATGGGGTAATCGAGAAAGTCGATCAACCAACTGAGTGGGTGAATTCTGTTGTAGTTATGGATTTGCCTAGACCCCAGACCATTAAACAAAGCGATCCAGAGAGAGGACTACAAGATGCCAACCATTGGAGAAATATGGTGTTTTCAAAGTTAGAACAACGTTTAACACGGAATTTGGTCGATATCGGAAACCAGTGACAATAACTTGTGATGCCTCTAAATCAGGTCTTGGAGCGGTGTTGTTACAGGATTTGAAGCTTGTTACATATGCGTCAAGAGCCTTGACTGATGCAGAAACGAGGTACACCCAAATCGAAAAAGAACTGCTAGCCGTAGTATTTGGGTTTGAAAAAGAACTGCTAGCCGTAATATTTGGGTTTGAAAAAGAACTGCTAGCCGTAGTATTTGGGTTTGAAAAAGAACTGCTAGCCGTAGTATTTCAGTACACCTATTCACGACCCATGGAAGTCAAGACGGATCGTAAACCACTGGAAGCGATAACCAAGAAACCGCTCTCGATGGCACCACCTCGCCTACAAAGAATTTATTGTGACTACATAGATATGACTTTATCGCAAAGTACAAACCTGGAAAAGAAATAGTACTCGCAGACACTCTTTCCAGAGCATACGTTCCAAACTCGCATCTAACTCTCTCATCTTACCCTATTTGCTTTTGAAATCTTACCACCAAAATTTAGTTGTAATTTCGGAATTTGTCAAAATAGGGTCCCTAGTTACTTGTTTCTTTACACACCTGTTGACTCTGGATGCTCTTCAGAAGTATCAAATAATGTACCTGCTCTTGAAAATGCTTCCTCCTTAACTTAATAATTGTGTTCATCTTTGAAATTTGAGAGAGAGCCTGCAGGCCTAGCTAATAAGAACACGTCTGTGCGTTGCTTAGAACGACGCAGGGTTCCCATTGGTTGAAATTGAACAGTTCGTTATTAACTGCCATAAAAGGTAATGAAATTTACACAACAATAGATTCAAGGTGTCAACACAAAGTGCGAAAATCGAAAAATATCAGTCTATTGCGATAAAAATGTATTAGACAAGTTTTGTAGAAAACTAAATTTTTGTTTAAAGTTAAAGGATGGGCAGTCAAAAGCTCTTAACAATATTCTAGACGGAAACGATGTTTTTCCTGTATAATAGAGTTTGGCAAATACAAGGGCAACATTCTTATATCAACAATAGCATCTTTACTCTAAGACAAAGGCGACTATAATTTGCCGTCGCCTTTGTTGGTTGCCAAACTCACTAATGAGGCTAGTATTATGCATTTAACTTCTAATTAGTATTATAGAGGACGAAATGGAAGAAGCTTAAGGACCTTGGTATGAGCTCGGTTTGCGTTAGTGACGAACCGAACATATAGAGGACATAAAATTGGGGAAATTTCATTTGATATTTGGATCGGCCGAAAACGTTCTTGACAAGTGTTCAGTTGACGCTTTAAAATATTCAAGTTGTCATTTACATAATCGTTTGGTTGCTTTCGTTATATAGATGAGTCTCACGTCATTGAGACATGGACTGGAGAATTAAGGAAAATGCAAATTCAAAATGCACATTTTATTTTTATACATGTCCTTTCTCACAAACAATCCCGATATTTTGCAAAAGAACTTCAAAACTATCTTGCCCTACTGCTTGTTGGCTTGAGCAAGTTCACTATCATGTTCAGCGGGGGGTTTTTTGCGTGTAAATGTTTTTGGAGTTTCTTTCCAAATTGACATTACAGACTTGTTGTAAACAATCATGCGTTGAAATCGAGATTTGCATTTTGTTTACATAAGGCGTGTCTGTATTAATTTTTTAATTGTATTTTACATTTGATTGACAACACTATAAATAGTGATGGGCACAGACGTATTTTTATTGACTAAACCGGCAGGCTCTAATTCAATTCAAAGAGCCTGTTCGCAGGCTATCATGTTGTACAATTATTTTTTTAACACATTTAAAAAAATTTCGGTTCACTTCTGAAAATTAGGCGAACATTTTTTTAAAACATTTGTTAATACAATTTTGACACTGTTAATCTATTACTCGTTATTACGACATAGAACTTGTCATGATGACTTAGAACTTGTCATGATGACTTATAACTTGTCATGATGATTTATAACGTTTGTAATGTAACTCGAAAGTATTTTGATGATATTGCCATCCAGCTCTGATTGCCCTTAATTATAATGCAATAGTCAATTGAAACCCCAGCCCCCCAACCCCCAGGACAGGGCGGGGATTTAACAGGGGAATGGCCATGGATTAACACAGTCTTAATGCACGATTTCCCCTGGGGTAAAGAGTAAATAAGTCAATTTATTAGCTGGGAATTTGACGTGTGGCTGATATGAAAGTGGACTGGATTGAGTTTATCCACATGGCAACATGGCGGAATCTTCGAAATCAGAGAATTGTTTCCTCATAGTTTTTCTTTTAAAAAAGGGAATATATTTTCACTTTTTATATATTCCTGATGATGACTGCAAGATAGTCGAAAAAGAGATTATTCAGTATCTTTTGATGAGGACTAAAGTCAACCTCGTACCCAGGGCTTCTGCGCTTATTGCTCTCAGAAGCCCTGGGGGAATCCAAACCGGAACACCAAAGAACATTGGTGTTCCAGTTTGGAAGTGAACAGGTAAAAATGCTGACTAGGCATATTTTTACACAAGAAGTGAGAATCGTTATTTGTTGCAATTTATGATAAATTTGGACTTCTAAAGACATCTTAAACTGCTTCTTGTGTGGCTTTTGGACTTTAAAGTCTAGTATTATTAATTTAGAGATACAATTATGTGTAAAATAAGCCCTTTCGCAGGGTGGGGGGTTTACCCCGGACCCTCCTAGACAACCCTCGCACCTTCGGCGCACGACTTGTGTTTTTGGCCCTCGTTTATTAAGCATTACATTATAGGGGCGCATATTGGTTGCAGCCCACTGCCCCCACCCAAAAAATAGTACCCAGCATGCCACTGGTTGGAGAACTGCCACACAGGCTAAGAAATAATATTTTGATTAGTCATTTAATATATGTGCTATCAAACCTATTTTTTTACTTTGTTTGCCATTCTTGCTTATTTACAAATAAAATTTCATTTCTTTTGCTCTTTTCAAACCAGCCCAGAATTTGGTTTTATAGTCTTCGTATCACTGATATACATCAGTGCTTCATATACACTCCTTGTGATAGCAGCCATGTTGCCAAAATATCTCCCGGTGAATGAAAAACGTTGGTACTATCATTGTGTTCGCATTGATCAATCAAATCACGTTCTGAGTTGGATTCTCACAGGGCTTCTGACGGCAATAAGCGCAGAAGCCCAGGGTACAAGGTTGGATCAAAGTTTATGTTCAAGAATTGCCTTCACATGTTGTGAACATTTTATACTTCAAAGATTTCCCATTTTGCAAGTCATGAAAATTTGTAAAGTGCCAGGGCCATAGGGGCAGTAACTTTTTTAACAGTCAATATTCCCAGGTAGTGGGGAAATTACCATAATTTAACATTGTCAAAATGTTAATTTCCCAGCCCTATCCCAGGAGGCAAGGGTTTCAATTGACTAGTGCATAACACAGTGACTATTTAACTGGTAGTCGGTCACCTTTTTAATAGTACTAAATGACTGGCAATATAAAGTGTATTGTTTCCGAACAATTTTAGCGAGCTTCAAAATAGCTCAAAAGCTTGTGCATGTGGCTGCTGTGTCGTACACATAAAAATCAATTGCCAGTCAATTTGTATTTTCTGATAACTGACCAGCTGCCAGTCAAATAGTCACAGGGTAATTATAAAGAATGCTACTAATGCACTTTAGTATAAACCTACTAGTAGGCTATCACATATCGTGCCTTCTGATTGGCTACGCTACTAGTAGGCTATTAGTGATAGCCTACTAATAAAAATTCAAAATCACCGACAATTCGCGTTTTGCACTTTTGCCGAAGTGTCTGATGATTTTTTTGGACGACTTGTTGAACAATTCTGTACTAAAAAACCCCGAAAAAGCAACAAAAATATGGAATGGCAATTTTTAAGGGTAAGAAAATAGACAAAATAACATACACTCAATGAAATTTTAAAATTAAAACTGAATTTTGTAAAACATTTTACGCGAACAAAAACTAAAATATTTGTTTACCTTTAATGGTTTTATAATGTTTTTTGTGTATTTTTGTATTGTGTTTGCAGCCTAGTTGTAAATTAATGTTAAAGTTTATACTAAAACAATTAGACAACTCGGCCTCATTGTCTATGAGCAAATAGTCAACTCTGCTTCGCCTCGTTGACTATTCACTCATAGACAACTCGGCCTCGTTGTCTAATTGTTAAATAGTCAAGTAGAACTGCCACCCCCGGTCCTGAGATAACACATTGAATTCTGGTGGGATAACACACTGAATTCTGACAACAATGTGCAACATTTTCCAGACCAATATAGATTTTTATTAAAAAAGAACATAGTTTTATATTTATAAGAACACTAGTTATACTAGAGTTTATGCAGGCAGAACTACTTACTATTGCATGTCATTGTGATTGTAAACGTAGTTAATAGAATAGATGGTTTGGAATGTCATTGTATTTTTGCCCAACTAACCAATAGCAATGTTTTAGGAAAGTTACCTATCCGTGACTCGAACAATAGGATAAATTGGAAATTGCTATTGGTGGATTTGGCAAAAATACAATATTTTATGAATAAACATTGACTAACATAGATAATGAGTTATATTGTTATTCCAATGAGTTTCCAAACCATCTATTCTATTAACTATGTTGTAAACCACTGTTCATTAGAACAGTGGTTTACAACATAGTTAATAGAATAGATGGTTTGGAAACGGATATAGCTATTATAGCTATATCCGTAGAATAGTTTTATATTATAGTTTTATTATGAATCCTGGTCACACATGTAGCATTTTGAAGCTATATCCGTAGAATAGTTTTATATTATAGTTTTATTATGAATCCTGGTCACACATGTAGCATTTTGAAGCTATATCCGTAGAATAGTTTTATATTATAGTTTTATTATGAATCCTGGTCACACATGTAGCATTTTGAAGTTATTTTATACATTTTATTAATATTGGAAAGTGATTATTCTAACCTTACAGTGTCGACGAATATAAAGTCTAGTAGACTGGGCTCTACAGTTCAGCTCTGTGTCTACCATTGATACCAATGAATTTGTCCAAGTAGAAATTGTCCTACTTTGCCATCTCTGTTTATATCAGAAGGGGAGGGAGGGGTATGCTGTACAGCTGTGAATTAGCTGGAGTAGTGTACTGTAAATGAAATTATGTTTTCAATTAAGAAACTAACTTGAGCATTAATTACTAATCCTTGGGTCCTATTGGAGGGGGACGAAAATGTGGAAGTCAAATTGGTAAACAATGAAAAATCATCGCTTGATGCGAAACAATGCTCTGGAAACGGCTATCACTCTTTGGGGGAGAATGCAGAAGGAGAAAGCGAGCTCACTGTTCCAGTTGTGTTATCTCTAACCACCCTTACGAAAATGTTCTATAGAATCCTATAGAATATGGTATAGAATATTCTATATCCTATAGAATATTCAATGGGACTTGCAATCCTATAGAATATTCTATTGCCATATTCTATAGAAGTTCCAGATCCTATAGAATATTCTATTGCACATTCATATGAAACATCCAATAACATATTCTATAGAATATTTTCTAATGAAATGGTATGGGATATTCTATAGATAATTTCATAGAATGTGATAAACCTATAATTGATATAGATTCAAGCCTAATTTATACTGCCTAGTACACAGCAAAAAATCGGTGAAAGTATTGTGATTTTAGAAAAATATTTCTTAACTAAGAAATCTGTTTTTTGCAAGACAATTTGTTCTTGAAATAAGTTTGTTCTTTTCAAGACAATTTGCTCGTGAATATTTTCTAATAATGACTTAATAATATACTTAATAATTCACAGTACATTTGTTTTCTTCAATGAGATATTATCATATTAGACATATTACCAGTAAATACCAGCAATATGTTTTCTGATTTTCTCATCGCGCATTGACTGGAAGCCTGGTACCTAGTTTAGGTATGAGGGCGCAAAGCTTCATGGGATAGCGTCATTTTAAAATTGCAATTTCAAATAACTCGCACATGGACGGATTTGAAGGGAAATTTTCCCTTATATTTTCAACCCAAACGATGGAAAAGGCATTGGAAAGTTCTTAAAATGTTATTCAGATCTCACAGGTAAGAATATTTTCATGTTTGATGCTATTTAAGCATTTTAATTCCGAAATAATGTAGTGAATTTGAGTCATGTGTGAAAATATTCCGTTGAATGTTTGAATTTGCCGCGTCAATTTGCATAAAAACATACAAAATTTCGGTTTCTAGCGATGGAAGAAAGAATAAAATATGAATTCGAATATATATTATTGGGAATTCTATACTAAATTACGCACTGTTGTTTAATTATAACAATCCACAATATAAAGTGTCTTTGCCTTTGGCATAATTTGGCACTGCTAGACGACCTTTGTCAAAGTATATGAAATATATTAATATTATTAAGATATGTTATCATTTTAATACTTGAAATATAAGTATTGATGTGATATTTTCAGTGTGTTGAAAGCTGCAAATTGCAGCACATTATTTGCCCAAAATTCAAATTTGGGAATGGGTTAATGAGCTTCAGGTGTATAAAATGATATGTTTGTAAAGCTGGAATAAGCACTATAGTCACTAGCTAGTGTTGACACAAAGCCTCAAATGTTGTCCTTGTATATTTTTAGATTAAATATTGCAGCTGGGCTATAGCCCGGCTCAAAATATTGTTCTCAACAGTTGGAAATTTCTGGATTGAGTTGACAAACTGGTGTTGTGAGGTAAAATAGCACTGTCCAAGTTTATTGC